TAAATTACAATTTTACAGTTTTTTTTTGGAAATTGATCGATGTACGAATACATTCTACACCCACTGTAAATATGTGTCAAGAGGAAAATGTGTGGCTTGAAAGTGAACATACTATGATAGACAGAAAGATCATCTCAAGGATACACTTTCTGAGATTTCAAGGTCACTTTTTTTTTTTTTTTTTTTTTTTTGGTGAGGTATTTTCATCATTGAGTATCGTAGACGATAAAGAAAAAACAAATTCATATATGTACAATACGTTAAAATTGTATGTTATACACAACATCGCAAATGTACATCGAAAAACCGTCGGTAGTCGATACGGATTAACAAGTTTTTGGAGCATGTATTTATCGTCAGTTGGAAAATAATTTGAAGTGCTGTTTTCTCGTTGATTAGTAGATTACATTATTGTATTAGTGGTAATGGGCGTTATTTCGAGCACGCACTTCAGATAAGGGATGTATATGATCGCATTAAGGTAATACCGAATTGTACTGATAAATAATGTCTGGTGAATGCTACTGTCTTACTAAAATCTTTAACGACAGCCAATCTTTTACTTGATTTATTGTACGAAGTAACTTTCGAGATTGGAAATGAAATATTACTTTTATTATCAGGTCATTGAAACGCAATGGAGCCTATTTAAAATTAGTAGAAGCGAGAAGAGGTGGAAAGGTGGCGAGGGATCGGTGGAGGGGGGGGGGGGGAGATAAATCATACTTTTTGAAGATATAAGACTCCAGATTATGTTCTTTTTGCCTTTTTAAGTGGACCAGACGCTCAAAAAATCGATTTATTTTCTGTTATACTAAGAGTGGAAGGAACTAAATAAATAGTATACTCATTAAATAAATAAAATGATATCTGATATGCTCTATTTATATAATATTAACACTTTCGCTTCGGACGAAAATAAGTAGCCGTTCGCTGGGAGCTGCAATTGTGATATTTTTCTTTTAATGAAAAATTTCTTACAAATGTTCTAATATGATTATTTTGAAAAACACATATTTGTGGTAACTTGTTTTACATGTAATATGATTGCCGAACGAAACAAATGAAAACTGAAAAATAATAAAAACAACCATGTATTTTCAGTTGGACGCACATGCGCGTCATTCGCAGCGAAAGTGTTAAATTACGATGGTAAGGTATAGTAATGCTTTACTCTCAAATAAATTATTTATTTTACGTTTCGATCCCTTACTTTAGAGTTATTCGCAGAATCGTCCAGTGTTACAATTAAATTTATTCAATTAACGTATGAAAAGCATTCAAATAAATAATAGCCTCCCTGAAATAAAAGCATCTACTATTTTAATTTACTTAAGGTTGCATTTCACTGTGAACGCACAAAAAAAGCATATTTTCAATAATTTTTTTCTCAGGAACTATTGCATAAAATTGAATGAATGTTTTTTTCCCCTTAAAGGTATGATTAAGAAAAGTAAATAAAAAAGATTTTTTTTTTTTGTAAAAAATATTTCGTCATTTATTTACAAAATAATATGCATGTGTGCAAAAAAAAAAAGAGTTATCCGCTGGCCCAGGTGATTTTGGCTCTCCTGGTAATCTGAAACAGAAAATCGAAAAAGTTTATTAAACTATGTCGTCACACCTATCGTCGAAACCTCCAAGTAGTTCATATTTTGATTTTTACTTACAATTTCACCTGATTTACGGTACAAAAAAAGTGTTTTTTTCTCTCTTTCACAAGAAACGCTGCCATTTCGTTTATTTTCGATGAAATAAATAAGTGGAGGTTCCGACCGTAGGTGTGACGACATGGTTTAATAAACTTTTTCGATTTTCTGTTTCAGATTACCAGGAGAGCCAAAATCACCTGCGCCAGCGGATAACTTTTTTTTTTTGCACACATGCATATTATTTTGTAAATAAATGACGAAATATTTTTGCCCCCAAACAAAATTTCTTTTATTTACTTTCCTTAATCGTATCTTTAAAGGGAAAAAACATTCGTACAATTTTATGCAATAGTTCCTGAGAAAAAAATTATCGAAAATTTGCTTTTTTTTGTGCGTTTACAATGAAATGCCCCTTACATTGTTAGTGCTAAAGAATATATCGATACGATTTTTCAATGTAAAGTAACGGGACAAATATTTCCCTTTACGTGTATTATCTATTATTTAAAGACGGTACTTCAGCGTATCTCTTAAGAACAAAACACTCGCGTCAGATACGTTTCGAAGAACGATCATTTCCTTAAAAACTATTGTTCGAGTTAGATTAAAGCTCAAGGGTATCCCACAAACGACAATCCACGAGATTATAGAAATTGAAGTCATCAGCGTACATGCATTCACATCTATGTAGAGACCTCTTGAATAATATCATTAACAAATAAGACGAACAGCAGGGATCCAAGATAAGAGATCCGCGGAACTCCAGAAGCTGATACAATGTTTCTCAACGTAAATTGTGGAATACGAACAACCAGTGATCTCCTATACAGGGTGTACCACCACACTCTTTTACCCTTAAATGTCTCGCGGGTTTTTTTGCGATAGAATAAAATGTTAAAGGAAAGTATTATACGGTTTAGAGCAGTGGTTTTCAAACTTTTTTCTCCTACCGGCCCCTTTCCAGAAAAAAATATTACTTAGCGTCTCTTGGAAATTAATTTTTTTCTAAATTTTAATAGCAATTACTAGGAAATACGTAAAATATAGTACAGGAAGGTGTACATTAGAAACATTGAACTTTGAAATTATGAAACTATTTATTGAACTCGGAATAGAATGTAATACAAAAAAAAAAAAAAAAATTAAAACATTCGAAATCATTTTAATGCGAAGAATGAACCTAGTGTGCTGCTAACAATTTAGTCATTCTCGGCTCTATTTTCGTCAGCAGTAATCTTAAAATTACCACGATTTACTATTTGCATTTGTTTTTTTTTTTTTTTTGTTGTTAATAAATTGGTTACAGTACTGAACCCACGTTCCACTAAATATGACGAAGGGAATGCAACTAAGAACTTTCGAATTACAGCCCAAAGTGGCCCCCCTGAATCCCTGAAGCACCCACCAGGGGGGCGGTGGCGCCCACTTTGGGAATCACTGGTTTAGAGGGTTTTCTTTTTTATGAGACGGGGTATTTTCATTATTGCAATATCTTAGCTGATGGAAAGACAAATTCAGGCGTGTACAACATAAGGTAGATGATTTAGATAGACTTAGAAAAGATCAAATATGTACAAATTAATTTCCTTATGGAGGGAAGTTACATTAGGAGGCCAAATATTAAGTTTTTTCCTTGACTCGTGTTTTTTTCGATCTTCTATCAATGGTTTGGCAGTCTATCAACATGTTGGAAAACTTGAACCATAAAGGGTTAAAGAAAATTTGAATAAGTAACTTACAGTGTGCGAGTTACACACTTGCAGTGTGCAATAAGAAATAACATCGCGTTTACTTTTTTATTTTTTCCAATGGCTAGATTCGGCGATAATGACGTGAAAATATTAACCCCTTTGCATTCGAGGCCTTTATTTTCTGGTATTTGCCAGCAACTCGAGATGTTTCTTAGCGTTCTATTGCCATGAATTCTAAGCTATCGAGATTTGAGAAACAATGTCACCTTTACTAAATGAAACTTAAAGGAACATTAGGTATTGTAGATTTGCTGCGTGAAACCTAATGGTGACTGAGAGTCCAAAGTGCAAAGGGTTAACTTTGTGTTTAACTTTGACGATACTTTAGATATGGCGCGAACTACGTTTGGTCATTTTTTCTAGTTATTTCGCTAAAAAAATCTACGAGATGTCATCTGTCGAGTACGCTATCGTTGAAAATTCTCGAGATCACAATTGTTATCCGAAATCAATACAATTTTTTCTTTATATTTATATATACTTCTTTTTAAAAAACAAAAATTTTCCGAGATGCACTTCATATCTGGACTCCTAATTACGTATAGTGGGTGCAGAAAGTATTCATACACTGATCACTTTCACTGATCACAAAAATAAACTGTAAAATTGTAATTTATTAACTTATTTTTTTCAAACAATGACATTCTACATATTCTCGGAAATCTCTACAATAGATAGAGTACAAAAATAAATAGCTATTTATGTAAGTTGCGAAATTGGCAAATAAAAAACAATTAATCGATGGAAATATTGAGGAAATAAGTAATTCGCACAACTGTTTGATTTTTAAAACTTCGTTAAAGAAAAAGAAATTTACATTAATTTCCAAGTATATAATACTCTTCCTTCGTGGGATTTCCTTTTGATTTTATAATTATTGCAACTCTTCCTTTTATTATTAAAATTTTAAGTCGCATTAACAGCTCAGGTTACGAGCGACTTTATACATTTACATTTAACATGATGTATAATTTTACATTGTGCTGCTTGATGGGACTACAGTGTGTTTATTTACATGTACAAGCTTATGTTATCTGTGATTTTACATACAATACAATTAAGTTTTTGATATTGTCACGAGAGTTCATTATTTCATTTATATTGTTTTGGATCTTGAGGCTTTCCCTAATTCTACTTTTCTAAGCATTAAATTAAATTGTTAGTTATTCGAAGTGGGATCTTTTTCCATTCCTCTATTGGGGCCATTTTTAAAAGTACTTTACTGGAAATTTGATGTTTTCTAATTCGTACGGAGCAATAAACTAATCTGTTTACGTTACAAACTCTACTGTAAATCGTTCGTCATAAGAATCGTACAAATACTTGCTTCTATACTTTTACCCACTTTTCCCCCTTTTTTTTTAATCTTACAAATTATATTAACTAGTAAATGTTGTTTGGGCTATATCTATCTTAGAAATTGCCAAGAGTATGTAGAATAACATTGATTATAAAAAAAGATGTTACGAAACTACAATTTCACACAAAAGTTTCTTGGGAAATTGATCGGTGTACGAATACATTCTACACCCACTGTATTTTTATCGATACGGATCAATAAAATCTCATTTGTCTTTGTTCGTTAATTTTCAGGTACCATGATTCCCAAATCCGGAGGCGATTACGCGTACATTAGCGACGCCTTTGGACCTCTGCCAGCGTTCCTGTACCTCTGGGTAGCATTGTTTATCCTAGTTCCAACCGGAAACGCAATAACAGCCCTAACGTTCGCACAATACATACTGCAACCAGTTTGGCCGGGTTGCGTACCCCCGTACGCGGCTGTACGTCTACTTGCTGCTGTTATCACGTGTAAGGGCACCGACCAAACATATTTAACTCTTTGCACTCGATGCTTTTCTTTCTGGTATCTACTAGCAACTCGTGATGTTTTCTTAGCATTCTATTGCCACGAATGCTAAGCTTAATCAGGCAACCTTTACCCCGCTAACAATCATTTTATCGACACTTCGTGTTCCAAAGAAATTAAACCTGAAAAAACATTACTGTTTATCGATTTACTGTATCAAACCGAGTGGTGACCGAGAGTCACCTCTCGAGTCCAAAGACTTAATACCTAAATTTAGTACCTTGATCTTCGGAACGAGACATGCACGTGCCAAAACATTTCGGGTACATTGCTCAAAACAATTAGCAAACCATGAAATTAATCGGAAAGCTGGATAATTGGGTGAAACGTCTAATATTTTAAACGATGTTGACACGATAATGTTAAAACAGTTTTATAGGGGAGGGAGTAATTTACGTAAAAGAAGCGTTCGAATTATTATTATTATTTTTTTTTTTTTTTTAATAATACACCAATGGCGTGAAATATATCTGATTTTTGTTTCCTTTTAACGCTGTAGATTAACAGGAGATATACAATCTACTAATTCTGTTGTTGGTTGTTTGTTTACAATACTCAAATGGAAGAAACGAGTGGTGGAGAGTTTTAATTTACGTAAAAGTGGCGTTTGCATTTTGTTTTTCTATTTTTAACACTGTATCCAACGAGAGATATGCGACCTATCAATTGTTTTGTTGGTTGTCCACTTACAATGCTTAAGGCCAGGTTACATCAATGAAACGTGTTTTTTTAAATAAATTTTGTTTATCGTAAAAAAAGTATTTCGGAATCAAACTTTTTACAGCTGAAAGTACATATATTCAACTATTTGAAAAAAAAATTTTGTTCTTTTTTCTATTTTAAATGGCGGCTCTGAATATGGCTGCTCAAACTCGTCCAATTTGTTGGCGGGTGTCGTCATTTCTTGTAAACGAATCATCTGAAAGCAAAAAATAAAACGGTTTCGTATTTTGTATCGAATTGGCTATGGTCGGCACTACAATGAAACATTTTCACAGAAAACAAAAAAACAAAATGGCGGACTTTAAAATTTTTCGACCCTTTTTCTCCACTTTTAATTGTTTATAACTTTTTAAAATAACAATGAATATTTTTGGTTGTAGTACCGACCATAGCCAATTCGATACAGAATATGAAACCGTTTCATTTTTTTGCTTTCAGACGACTCGTTTCCAAGAAATGATGACACCCGCTAACAAATTGGACGAGTTTGAGCAGCCATTTTCAGAGCCGCCATTTAAAATAGAAAAAAGAACAAAATTTTTTTTTTCAAATAGTTGAATATACATATGTACTTTCAGCTGTAAAAAGTTTGATTCCGAAATACTTTTTTTACGATAAACAAAATTTATTTAAAAAAACACGTTTCATTGATGTAACCTGGCCTTGAATTGAGGAAACAATATACAGTGGGTGTAGAAAGTACTCGTACATCGATCAATTTTCAAAAAAACCATGTGAATTGTAATTTATTAACTTCTTTTTTAAAAACAATGATATTTTATATATTCTTGGAAATCTCTAGAATGGATACAGTACAACAAAAAAACAGTTATTTACATAAATTGCGAAATTAACGAGAAAAAGCATAAATCGATAGAAATATAGAAGCAATAAGTATTCGTACAACTCTTTAATTTTTAAAACTTCACAAAAAAAGAACAACGAAATTTACATTAATTTATAAATAATTAATATTTACGTATACGCGTTTTTTTTTTTTTTATAGTCTCATCTCTTCGTGTCGTAAATCGAAATTCCCAACAAAACTGCCACAGGATGCCTCAAATCGCCTTCGATAGAGGAATTAACGATAAAATGCAATCTCTTTGTAAAAATTGTAATAAACGATAAGACGATTCAGGTTTCAGGCTAATCCAGGGTAAAAATGACGAAAGATTTTGTTTGACGAGACATGGGATGAAAATAGTCGATATGAATATTCGTTATCAGGAATTGGAACAATTGCACTAATCGTTGAGAAATCGTGTTTTTCCAGTAAGATAACGTTTGACCACACGTGGTTAAATAAGCCGTAAGCAAGAATTGCTTAATTCGGATGAGAATGATGAATCACTTTTCTCGTTCGTTAACACGTTCATCGTCGCATTACCCGCATGTAAATCACCGAGCTTTTTACCATAGAACCAAATAGCATAATCTCGAAGGTAAAATGACAAAGAAAATAAATTCGATTAGAGTGGTTTGGTAAAAAAATGACAACAGATCAGATCGTCTCATAACTTTGAAAACTCGAAATTTACATCTTAATACACATCTGTCTGAAATATGGGTTCAATTTACCGTTCAGTTTGTTAGATATGGTCACTTGAATTTCGCGATTTTTCGTCGAATTTGACTGGAGGCTTATGGCAGCCGACCCGAAAAAAAAAGAAACTTTGTACCATACTTTTGACTGTAAAACAGTTTGTACAAGACAGATCGAAATAAAAAATGAATGGAAAGTAAATTAATAAATGTAGAATAACATAATAATAATAATAATGTTTTGACTAGTACAGTTGGGAAAGGACCACCTTAAAATTCATGAACTTCCATAACGTTATAAAAATACAGTAGGTGTAGAAAGTATTCATACACTGATCAATTTCCAAAAATAAACTGTAAAATTGTAATTTATTAACTTATTTTTTTATGAACAATGATATTCTACATAATCTCGGAAATCTCTAGAATAGTACAACAAAAAATAGCTACTTATATAAGTTGCGAAATTAACAAGAAATTAAAAAACAATTAATCGATATAAATATTGAAACAATAAGTAATTCGCACAACTGTTTAATTTTTAAAACTCCATTAAAAAGAAAGGAATTTACATTAATTTACAAGTATATAATACTTCCTTCGTGGGATTTCCTTTTGATTTTATAATTATTGCAACTCTTCTTTTTATTATTAAAGTTTTAAGTCGCATTAACAGCTCAGGTCACGAGCGACTTTATACATTTACATTTAACATAATGTATAATTTTACATTGTGCTGCTTGATGGGACTACAGTGTGTTTATTTACATGTACAAGCTTATGTTATCTGTGATTTTACAATTTGTTATAGATTTGGATTTCTTTTAGGTATACAATTAAATTTTTGATATTGTCACGAGAGTTCATTATTTCGTTTATATTGTTTTGGATCTTGAGGTTTTCCCTAATTCTACTTTTCTAAGCACTAAATTAAATTATTAGTTATTCGAAGTGGGATCTTTTTCCATTCCTCTATTAGAGCCTTTCTTAAAAGTGCTTTACTGGAAATTCGATGTTTTCTAATTCGTACGGAGCAATAAACTAATCTGTTTACGTTACAAACTCTACTGTAAATGGTTACAAATACTTATTGGTACAAATACTTATTGCTTCTATAATTTTACCCACTTGTCGCATTTTTTTGTTAATTTCACAAATTCTATTAACTAGTAAATGTTGTTTAGACTATATCTATTCCGAGAATATGTAAAATATCATTGGTTATAAAAAAGGAAATTAAGAAACTACAATTTCACACCCACTGTAAGTACTACAGAAACGTTGCATCATTTAGGATTCAATTATGTAAAAATAAAATGTTATTCTCGTCGCGACGTTAACAAATATTCAAGTGGCAATCAGCGCGTTAACAGAGATTTGTTTAAGTGTAATACAAGCATTTACCGTATTACTGTATACTTTATTCCCCACGTTGGATGTTATTACAACAGATAGCACGGTATCTTCAGCTCTGTGTTGCTACCGATCCAACAGAATTCGCTAATTGTTTTGAGCAATCCGGCAATCTTCAGGATCTAGTAATTAATGTAGATCTCGTATCGCGTAAAATTTACGGCTAACCGTGCGCGATAAGATAATGGGATCATTCCTCGCAGGTATATTGACTGCCATCAACTGTTACAACGTGAAATGGGCCACCAGGGTACAGGACATCTTTACTGGGACCAAAATCTTCGCGTTACTGATCATCATGATCGCTGGATTATGGTGGCTTTGCATGGGCCACACGGAAAATTTCCGTCATCCCATGGACGGAACCAACACGCACCCTGGCTACGTAGCTTTGGCTATTTATTCGGGCCTGTTTTCTTATTCGGGCTGGAATTATCTGAATTTTGTTACAGAAGAACTCCAAGACCCGTACAAGTAATTATCGATTGTTCTCTGCCAGAATTATTTAGTAGTGTTAGTACTAACACTATATCGATTGGTAGCGCTTGGACATGCAATTGAATTTAATGTTTTTTTTATTTTTATAGCATTAGTATCATACAGTATTTGTTTCATCTATTAGAATCGTTCTTAGATTAAATAAATAAATAAAATCTGGTATTATCCAGGTTGGTAGCGCTTGGACATGTAAT